GCAAAACATGTCTAATTTTATCCCATTTCCACAAGAGAAAATAGTCCAAACACAAGCGACAATGATATTTCAATTTGGAGTCAGGTAAATGAGAATGACTTTGTGACAATGATTTTGTTGAAATTTCTTGTTTCAAAGTGGCAGTAGTAACATATAAAAAGAAGGTATGGAAGCATTATATCATATATCGAGAACTGAAAGAAAAAATAGAATTTATTTCAGAACTTTTCAATTAAGAACGCACCTAATTTACCAACGACTCGTACAATGAAAATACTGTCCCGCACAACGACACATACAGTAAATATTGAACGACGGATACAGTCGCATTTTGATTAAAGCAGTAAAATTAAGGATATTCTAATTATAATTAGGAATAAATTACGTTTCAATACCCCAATACTTATATTTCTCATTATTTGATACAATTCTTATCGAAAATGGGATGAACGCCAATGCCATAATATATCTTTTTAAGTCTTTGCACAACTACACTGCACTGCGTTTTGCATTGCGTTAAAAAACAAAGCTGCATTTTGACAAAATTGTGTTTCCTAGAGAACGTTTCATCATATATCTATGCGTTTTAATGCACAACACATTTAAATACTTAACATGTCTTCGAATAATTGCCGTCTTAATTTCATAATTCCATGACTGCATCATGTTGTCAACCAAGAAACGCAACAACTTCCGGTTTTTTTAGTATGTGGGTTAGATACTGTGTTGGTTGTCTTATGCAAAGTGAAATTTCTTGAGTAACAATTTCAGGTATATTTCAGAATTGACACATTCCATTTCAATACTTGAAAGAAACATGGGCCGGGCCAATAATTCCCCCTGTGTTAAGGACCGTCTTTGATGGGATTTTTTTTTATTTCACTAGCTTCCGTTTTTTTAATTCTGTATAAATTCCACTTATTAATATCTTTGAGTTCTTGATTCGTTTTCTTTCAGTTCTGGATTCGTTTTCTTTATAGTCCTACTCGCAAGAACCTCTGATGAATTCTATAAATCTTTTATATTTTTCTGTTTGCATATCAACAAAGTAAGGAAAGTAAATGGTTGCATGTTTTCTGAAACACCCTGTAGTACTAAATATGGGAAGAGCTCGAAAAGCCGGAAGTTCATTGTCATATGCATTGTTAAAAACATTCTGATTCTACACACAAGTACTCCGATGTTGATATTAATAGGATGCTTGAATTTCTCACTTCTAAATATTTGTTAGAATTTCTAAGGGTGTCCCATTATGAGGAGATTTTTTTGTATTCATATAAAGCTGAATTTGTTCAAAAACCTCTACATGAAAAGAAGAAGGCTCTTGTTGTGGTCTTCAATTCGACATTTAGATATCTCGACGACGTTTGAGCAATTAACAGCATTTATTTCCATTACTACGTTGATTCGATATATCCCATTGAACTCGAAATATAAGACATCATTGAATCTGACACATTTGTTTCATATTTAGATGTTTTACTAGAGAAAGACATTGATGGCAAAATGACAACTTAACTTTATGATAAACGTGATGACTTTAACTTTTCTATCGTCAACTTCTCTTACTTTTGTAGCAATAAACCATTATCAACTGCATATGGGGTCTATGTCTCTCAGTTGATTCGATACGCGAGAACATGCTCTACGTACGAACAATTTATTAATAGAGGCATGCTACTGACAAATAAGTTGATGATACAAGGATATCAACAATCTCGTTAAAGTCAACGTTTCGCAAATTCTCTGTTCTATGCAATGACCTAGTTAGCAAATACAATCTGTCGTTAGGTCAAATGCTGACTGAGGTTTTCACACGAATTGTTGGGCCATAATTTTCACATTGAATTGTCTACGGATTTTCCGTTTACCCGATCATAACAAAGAGTACACGGTGGGTGTGATCTGTCCGCATGGGATGCTTACTCCTTCGTGGCACCTGATCCCACTTCTGTTTTCAGAGGTCTTTATTGGCTCTGCTCATAATTTGTTTAAATGGACTTTTGAGAATGATATCGGTTCGTTCTCTTCACATTTCATTATTGTGTATTCTTAATAATTTTAAAAAATATATCTAACACATCTTACTGAATTCGAATGTCTGCACAAAGTAAAGAATTTCAAAAGTCGTCTACAATACTATAATTTGAATAATATAATGTTCTGCATTTACGTGTTTAGGGTGTGTTAGTCTTTTACAAAGCATATAAATACACTGAACTTAAGAAGAAAATCAAATACCAAAGTAGTTCTATAAAAGTCGGAAAAATACTTTTACGTAGAATTTATACATGTACAATAATCTATTTTGGCCTTTTTTCAAAACAATGCTGAATAAAAGCGAATGAATGTATGCTGCTTCAGTTCTTCAGCGGAAGCATATACATGTATATGACTTTTTCAGAGTACGCTTTTGAGTAAATTTGATTATGTTTTAGAAGCAAACTTCGATAGGTTAACTTTGATTGTTTTAGTGAAAACAGTACGTTATACTTTTTAATAATCAATGCTGATATACAGGCTGTGAAAGCCAAAACGTTATTTTTAATGTACAAAAGAATGAAACACTGATAATTTAAATAAGTCCTGTGGTTGATTTTTTTTATTTTATTTTGATATGTCATTTGTTCAAAATAAGACATAATTTAGGAAAATTTTAAAATTGTGGAAAAAGATATACCGGTAATTTTAGTGGATCATGTGTCTTTCAGGCAGGATAGCAGTATTTTATATGAAATTGTAATTCTGTTATTTTCTTTGTAATATTTGGCTTGTGGTAAATATACTTACTTACTTATATAACCTGTACAAAATCATTGCAAAAGCTAGGGAGTTTAAATTACTCTCTACCAACGGCTCATATACATTCACTTCTGTCATTGGCTAGCGTATATCACTACGATTAGCCATATATAGTGCGCTTATTTTAATTAATTATAATGAGATATTATCATTGAAATTTTTGTCTTTTAAGATAAATATTTATATAGTTTACATGTATATAGAACTATAACTTGAATTTGAATTGATCCTTGGAATATCTTTTTTTAACTTCACGTCTAAAATCTTGACGTTAACGCATTGCAGAGGTATCTGAGAGAAGAACAAACGATTACTCTGCACTTGAGATTGGTTTGAACTTGATCAGCTCCCAATAAAGTTCATTGTAAGATTTTTTTTTTTTTTTGTTTTTTACTTAACCTGCTACATGAGTCACAAAAACGAATAATTTAATTAAATCAACAATTAAATTAATTTTATAATAACTGGCCAATTGTCTGAATATATATCACTAACCTTCATTTCTCTACCAATGACATTAAGATTAAAGTCATGAACCCAGACTTCATTACACTTGAGGATATTTGCATATTTTCTACATGTAACATCAGACTATGCCTATATACAAATGTAAGTTCATCTTTGACTTGAACAAATTTGAATCGACTAGGGGTGCTCAGGTATCCATTAAAAAGCAGTGGCTAATTGACTCTTTAGAATTACAGAAAAAGAAGTACATGTTGTAATCATATACTACTGACATTTATACATACATTTAAAATTTTAAAAAAAATAATGATAAAACCAGTTATATGAGTCCATTAACAGCTGTAAACCCCATATTCGAACAGATAATAGTTATTTCACACATCTTACGTCAAACAAATCATCTACGTTAGACATAGTGGATTTCACAGAAAATTATTAAATCAATGCTGACTTTATTAATTTTGTGAATATTCTTTATTGAATTTGGAAAAAAAAAATTATTTATTTTTTTTTAATTTTTTTTTTTTATAATTAATATTTGCTCACCAGAGACAGAAGGCATTGAAGATCTTGATCGTCAATCTATGTGTCTGTGTATTTCATGCATGAAATAAACATCTACACAATTCTGAAACAAGAAATTGTATTTTTAAGGACAGATTGATTGATTGTTTGTTGTTAAACGTCTCATTCGAGAATTTTTCACTCATATAGAGACGTCATCGTATGCCGGTGAAGGGCTTCAAATTTAGGCCTATTCTCGGCACTCAGGGCCATTGAGCAGTGAAGGTTCTTCATCGTGCCAACGCCTGCCGCGTTTTTCGGTTTTTAAGGTCTCATCCGAAAGACGCGTGACTTTAAGGACATATGATACAAACAAAAAATGGACATCTGGATTGGTATATTTTTTTGGACCTATTTTGGTTGTAAATGATACAAATAAATAAATTTCTAAAATATTAAGAAATTATAAACTTTCTCCATCTATATTTATCTATACAACTTCTTGTCACTTTAAATCCTATTATTGTGAAACTTTGAATGAAAAATCAAAAACTCTGAGGTTAAACTTATTCATTTTACTTATATAAACATGATTTAAGTTGTTATTTGCAAGATTTTTAATAAAAGATTGTTTGTATCATCTGTCCTTAAAATACAATATATGTCTTCAAATTGCCCAATCATTAAAAAAAATTTCAGAAATTTGTCCTAAAAAGCTATTGAGAAGTAGGTATTACTTCCTGTTAATACCTATTGCATGTCATTGAATAAAGACTTGTTTGGACTGCATTCTACCCGCGGTTAACATGTACGGTTTGTAGTGGACAACATCCTCGGGGTAAATCTATGTTTGGTAATTAACCATTAATTGCGACACACTATCGCACTGAGGTTACCGTAATACATGTAGACCCAGATGCCATGTGGAGACCAGTTTCTTTCTTAAAAGTAAGCGTTTCGCCGAGTTTTTTTCTTTTTTTTTTTCTTTTTTGCATTCATTTGTCAAAGCTACATAACTGTTAATTTTATCTATTCAAAAAATTAAAACAAAGTTACTTGACCTTTTAAACTTGCTATTTAATAAAAGGGTCAACTTTTACAGAGAAGAAAAAAACTCTGAAAGTAAAAAAACATTTATTCCTGAAAATGCTTTGATTACTCTTGAAAAAACTTCCAAAAATTTATTTATCGTTCCATTGTCTTTTTTTCAGTGGATGTGTCTGACCATGACGTCTCTGTGTATACTGTATTCCTGGGACCTGGCCCACAATGACAAGGCACCGGAAAAAAATTGCCATCAACCCTCTGCTTCAACAGCAAGAAACAGTTCTTATGAGTTAATCGAGATGGAATCGCGTCTTAACTATTCCATGTTTTTGTTGAGAGACTTGTTTCCTGATAAGTATGTCGTATATACATGTACAGGAACGTCACGTGGTCGGCGCTGTGGAGGATGGAGCGATAGAATGAAAACAATAGTAATGTCCTACATACTCTCATTGCTCACAAATCGTCAGTTCAGAATCCTCGATAACTTTCCATGTGACTTTAAAATTTCTTTTGATGAAAACTTAGTCCAATGGAAGATTAACGGGTCGGAATTAAAAGGTCTCACTCATCAGAACTTTTACGCAAGTGCAGGGGTAAAAGTTGCAAGGAATCATTTTAGAGGCGCGAATCTGGAAACAATTCACAAGCCGGATGTGATCTATTTTCGCGGAAACTGGGACTTTTTAAATGAGTTTGCTGAAAGGCCAAACATTGGTGAAAGTTTTCCATGGCTTCTGAAGTTACCGAGGCCTGATATATACAGAGCGATATTACGGATGATACTTAAACACACAGACACATTACAAAGACACGTACAGGAAATCTTCACGGAAAAAGTCAAAAACAGTAGATTGGTGTGTGCCCACGTGCGTCAAGGGCGGAGCAAAACTTTACCTAATGACGACTCCACAGACGTCAGGGAGAAAGATATTGAAACCATATTTAAGTTTTTATCTCAATACCAGATTCCGAACCACAAGATATTCATTGCAACAGATTCTGTTGACATAATAAATTCAGCACGTGAAAGGTTCCAAGACTTTCTGTTGGAGGTGCCCGGGCCAATCACTCACATGGACATTTCGAAGAGTGGAGAACTTTGTCATGGTCAACAAAAGTCCTTTACAGAACACGAGATTCTAACTCGTTGTGATACTCTCCTGTTGACTAGGAGTGGGTTTGGTATTATTGCTGCATTCCTGCGGAAGAATTCTGATGACCTCTATTGTCTCAGTCACCATTACATATCACCGTGTTCGCGATACACTCTGTCTAAAATCTATCCGTGGACACTGTCACCTTGGGATGACCTTTAGCTTATTTGCGAGTGTGCTCATGAACTCCTAAAATATCCCCACTACTAAATTGCATTAAATTGAGAATCATGTAATGATTTTAGCTCCCAAGAATACGAAAGTAGATGAATATTTCGCTTATGTGTCTAAACTTAGGTGTTTTAAACAATCTTAACTTACCGAACACGATGTATGGACTCCGTACTCAATTTTGTGCGCCTTTTAATACTTTTTTCAGTTGTTTTTCTCTCATATTTGTGGCGTGATGTCCAAGGAACAAGTGATACTGTTACAAATAGTTTGAAAGTATATGATTTCACATGGAATTATTGTCTGCAAAAATATTTAGGATTGTAGCTCTGGAAGGATAGCTTTCTCTCTTATTGAGCTGATTTCATGATAATTTATTGGCTTCTCTATTATTTGTATTTCGGAGAAAACATTTCTGATATTCTTTAACATTGATATTAAACTGAGAGAAGTAACTGAGTACCTTTTGCCTGTTATCTAATCCATTTTAAACGTTAGCTTGAATATAACCGTAGGAACAATAACTCGTATTGGGAACCAGCCAGCCTACCTGTAGTTTTTACCATCTAGTGCTAACCATTCTTAAAACGATTAACTATAAAATTTAGAAACATGCTATACATTCAGATGCAAGATGTAACGAACCCATTGCCAAGTAGAACTCCCCCCCCCCCCGGTACTTTTATAGAGAACCATATGATAAATAATCGGGGGGAAAATACTTCCTTTTAGATTTCCAACTTTTTCTTTGGCTATAATCATCATAAACCCCTCCATCTTTCCCGGAAAAAGAAGCAATTTTACTATTTCAAGGTAGGCTGAGGCACACAGTGTTTAGAATAGAATAGAACTGAATATTTATTCAACCACTTTGGATCTAAAGTGGAGCGTAAAGATACACAATGTCCGAATTTAAAGCAATAAATAACAAACAAACAAAAACCCAGAACAAAACAATTACATTTTATAATGAACTGAGAATTAGCCATCAACTTTAAAAGTGCATAAAATGCATACAAATAGTATGTCTAATAATGACTGTAATATATAGAGGATATTCAATGTTTTGTAGTTGGATATGGAATTTATTTCACGAATGGGACAGGATTTTTTTTTATATTTTCACGAGTGCGAAGCACAAGTGAAAATATAATTTAAAAAATCCTGTCTCACGATCGAGTGAAATTAATTCCATATCCAACTACAAAACATTGAATTTTCTGTTTATTACACTTTCTTTGATTTTCCCTTTTCCTCTGTACTTTCTTAACACAGTTTCTTAGGCTGTGACATCATAGTTGAGCAGTTGAAATGTCATAGCATTGGAAACATTGTAACATGGATTTAAGAAACATATTTGGGAAGAAATTGGCAGTTTTAGTCTCTATCAAGATGGGTTAGTTTCTATCTCTATCTTATGACAGGTCAGAAATTTTTTACTTACTTTGATATCCTTTCACACTATGGTAGAATATCATTTTGGTATCCTTTAGCACTGTGAGAGAATATCACTTTTATTCAATAAATAAATCACAGTATTTCACTATTGAAAATGTAATAAATCTATATTTTACATGTATCTTGTTTTCTTATTATAAAATTTGCCGTTAAATGTTGGCAACAAACTCACAATCTTCATTTGACATAACCCACGTAAACGGCCCATGTAAGCAGTGTTAAATGTGGAAAAGTTTTAAAGATTTTATTTAAAAAACTGTTTAGCTTTCAGGGAACACAATCTGATAATGGCAGGTCACCAAATATATTGACAAAAAAAAGAAAAAAATGTTTCTGACCAAAATGTTTTCTCGAAGAAAAACCATGCATGATCGTGTTTGGAACGAGGGGTGCTAAATTTTAAATTCCATCATCTGGCAAACCATGCTTCAAACTCGGGGATTTTCTTTAGGGGGGTGGTGGGGGGGGGGGTGGAGTGGTTGGAGGCAGATTTTTTTTTCTTCAGAAAACACATTTTCGGAAATTTACGAGATAAATTGTTAAAATTTTCAAGGGAAAGCCTTCATTCATAATCCCCTTGGTGTGTCTCACACAAGGATTGAAGGAACTAAATTCACTTTAGGTTACTATATGTAACCTTGATTAAATTGATCAAGGTAAATTAATAAGACTTGCAAATTGCTTCTATTTTCATTAAAGTATTAAAGTTATAACATTCCCTATAATTGATTCCCAAATTAATTCTGTATGCATGAAATAAGATGCCAAGAAAGAAAAAAATGCCAGTCTCTATATAGATCTATATAGAACTCTTGGGGGGGGGCTTTTTTCGTATCCTTTAAACCCTTGATTTTTATTAGGGCTGTAGGCATCAAAGTCAGAAAATATCAGATGCATGGTTACATATAACTGATGTAGACCTATCACCAGGGATCTATATACAGGATATATAGTTAGTATAGGTCCCTGCTGTCACTAATTGAATTTACATGTATTTTTTTTTAAGAGAAAGGTAGCATTTATTGTTTTATAGAAAATAAACATTTTTACATTCTACAATATTTCAAAGTTTATCAATATACAAAAACCACACCCTTGAATATAAGATTTCCACATCTCCAGCAAGTGTTGCCTAATTTTAATATTGACCAATCATATCCAAGGAAAATATTAACCTCGAACATCTAAACAGGAAGACGGTCAACCATTGCGAAAGAGATTAGAGAGTTAACATTTCGAAAGGCAGTTTTCTTCAGCAAAGATGGGGTTCGAGACATGTGGTCCGAACGAAGTAATGGTGGTTTCAGGTAGAATTATTTAAACTATATTTAATAATTGCAGGAAAGTACAATTTTGCATCTTTAGATATGGCATTGCATCGCTTGAATATTCACCCTACATAATTAGCGTTTCAGCTATCGCATTTCAGATAAACTGTACTGCGTTTTAGACACTCACTGTACTGCGTTTTAGACACTTAGTAACTAAAATTGTTAATATTCACTTGCAGATTGCATTTAATATGTGTAGAAAAAAATAAAATCAAGGTAGACGGGATCATTTAACATTAGTAAACCTTGGTCGATCGTGCATAATAATGAGCAGTCAAGAGGAGTGGGCAGGTTCAATCTAACCTTAAAATGGACGCAGCCGGAAAGGCAGTAAGCGGATATATGAGAGATGCAGAGAAAAGCCAATCTGCTAGATAATAATTCAGATTACTTAAATGAACAAAGTATAATATACTTTGTGCATTTAAGTTAAAATGTATGAAAAATATAATTACATGTGAGTAGCTTGTACGAAGGCAGTTTATGTATCAAATATCAGTTTGTATTTGGAAGGGTTTTACACACTTCACACACACATATACAAATAAATAAAGAGTATTTTACAACAATATTTGATAGAAAAAGTAAAAATATGTTGCCGTCTTTGAGAATCAAATGAAAAATTACATTTAACACATGGGAATTCATTAAATGAAGGAAGGAATAGTGATGTGAAAGTATTTCCCATTTATCTTTATATGGTAGTCAGGGTTGGCCGGGAAATACCAGTGGTGGGAATTACCAGTGGTAAATACCGGCATTTCCCATCCTGGGAAATACTACAAATTTTCTCTAAACTGGTAAATATTGGGAAATACTAAGTTATTAGAGTTTTTTATTTCTCTAATTCATTCAATCTTATACAAAATTTAAAAAATAAAATAAACATAAAAACAGAAGATGAATAATAAGGAATATGTCTCAAATTGCTATATAACATATTCAGAATGTATCACCTACTCCAGGTCCCATACCCAAAAGCATTCTGAAACATTTCCCTGGCTGTACAAAAACTTAAGTTTTTCAATTCAAGTTTCTTTTCAGTTTTGTAAAATTATTTAGTTTATTAATTATAAATCCAAGAACAAAAAAAACAACTTGTTTTCATCCTTCTGTAAACACTTTAGTTATTACAAACAATCATGTTGTTTTAACAAATTGCTCTGGACAGTTTTGTGCTCCTGTTTTGAGAGATAATTACCTTGAGTAAAACTAAAGGCTTCTTCTCAGATTTGATATTCATACCATACACTACATTTAAGAATTTTCTTAGATCCTTCTTTAGTTACGTAAAAACCCAATTGGGATCTTTGTGTTCATTTCATGGACCTGTATAGACTACATCTGACTCAAGCACTCATGATTGGTATATGAATATACTGTGTTATGATTACATGTATATAAAATGAATTACTTGGAAACCAGAATTTTTTAAATCGGGAACAGTGATACCAGGTAGATATCTTAGCCAATAAGGTGTACTACATGTCAATATGAATAAAATATGTACCTATTTCTTATTTCCCAGTATTTCCCGGGAAATACCAGTAATTCCTGGTAATTACCAGTATTTCCCACCGTCCTGGGAAATACAAGTATTTCCCAGCTTTTTGCCAACCCTGATGGTAGTGTCATTAGTCTGGTCAGTACTTATTCCAATTGAAAATGTCTGACAGTTCCTTCAGGCTTACACTTTTAAATATATATATAGCTTCTCAAACTCAAATTTATTAGCCTTTTTGTCTTCAAACTACCAACTTATTTTGAAAACCTATGCCAGTTGTCAGTGAGAAATAAATATTGACTTTTAAATAAAATTATGATGTCCATACCATAACCATGTGTTATTTTCTTAGTTTCAGTTCCTGAATTTTTTAAGTTTGAAAAGTGACTTTTTATAGGATACAAAAAACACAAAAAGCTGGCATTGGTTAATATACTACCAAGACAAATTACAAAGAAGTTCACATAAAAATGTGCCTCAGAAATGGTTGTAATGTTAACATGCTTTGAATAGAATTTTCTCAAAGACATAAATAATCCAACAATAATTTTCAATACAGCAACAGTAGAGGTCACATGACTCGATACAGAAAAATGAGTTTGAATCTAGGAAAGTAATCGTAGTTTTATCTCCATGCCTATACCACGCGTATTTTGGAATTTCCCTACCACTATTTTGAAAAGCTTCAAAAATACAACAGCTAAGAACATTTGGAACTTTGACCTAGGTTGAGTATACCATGTAACAACAAACCAATTCACTACTAGTTAATTAACTGTATATCTTGATGCTGAGAACTTAAACTAGGTTTACTGTTTGAAGAAAAAAAATTCTTCACATAACATTCAGCAATATATAGAAACTGGCTGGCAGGACAATGGAAAATCATGTAAATTTTATTTTTAAAAACTGCTTTTAAAAAAAATTGCTTTATCTTTGTGATTAAATTGATTATTTTACTTTTTAGGATGTTGCCACACTGGATCCACATTTATTCCTGGTGGTCGTGTGTTTGTATGGCCACTTATTCAGAAACTGCAGAGGTATGGGAAGATTATGAATACATCTCATACAGTTTTAAGGTTTTTCTGAGTTGTTTGTCAAGTAATAAAAAAATATAGACAGTATATTTTGTATAATTATTTGCAATTTAATCGATGTTACATTGAGTGAAGAATCTCTATATGTACTTTGTTACAATGCTGTGAATACAATATTTTTGAGACGCTTTTTAATCATAATTTATAAAACTATACAATTATTGACTTTCACAGTGGTGAATATGGTTGTTATTCACCAGAAAAATATCAATATTGACCGAGGCGAAGCCGACTGCTGAGGTCAATATTGATATTATTCTGGTGAATAACAAACCATATTCACCACTGAAAGAGTTCATAATTGTTTTATTATATTGTCAGGATTTGAATAAATAAGACCTTGAATGCTGCATGATGACACCATTTTTATTAATGAAAATTTTGTCATAGAAAAATAAAGAATTGTTCCGATTACACTTGATGACCTCCTTGTCTTCCTTTTGCTGTGTGTAATAATACTGTTAAAGACTTGCTTAATGTTTTTCCTGTTGAGATACACAGCTGGCTCCGGCCATTGCAACCATTGTTTTCAACGTTGTTTGAGGTATTGATTGTGATGTCACAATGCAGCTGCACGCGCACTGACCCTCTGGTGAATACGGCTTCAAATCCAGTGAATATGTAGCATTATGAACTGTTTGTATAGATTATATAGGGACTATTTATAGACTATATAATAAAGGTGTATATTACTTGAGGGGATATTCTGTTGGTACATTTGTTATTTATATACAGTATAAATATTATTTTGTTTAAGGCTTTCTCTGAACACTATGACCCTACAGATTGACAGTCCAAATGTCTACACACAGCTGGGTGTCGCAATATCGGTGACAGGGATTGCTCAGGTAAAGATGGAAGATTTATGGTTAACAAATCAAAATCTTTCCAAATGTATTCCATACATACCACAGCAAAGACAATTCTTGCTACTGTATACAGGGTTATTTTAGCCCCGTGTTATTTTCACCCTTTCAAACTTGCAAACAATTTTGCCCCTTTTAAATTCGCCCAGTCACAATTCTGTTTAAGAAATTATACTGTGTTCTTTGAATTCATCCCGTTGAAATTCGCCCACTTCTGAGTAGGGTGAAAAAGGCAAAAATAAAATTTCCCTGTATACAGTATTCAAATGTTGAAGATTACCTCTGAAACCCATTACAATAATTAGGCTATTGAATCTGAAGCTATAGCTGATTGAACTTTTACTTCAGACTTAAGTTTAAGAATATACAGACTATCAAAGGGAAAAAAGACCATGATTTGCTGAACTATACATATCACCCTAGAATTTATTTAGACAGATGTTGAAAGCTTCAAAACTTTTGGCTCAGTTTGAGCCACATCAAGACTTACCTACATGAAAGTAAAATTTGGTTCATTGGCCTTTTGTTCATCATATAAATTCAGACATTAAATTTTTGGTTGGGAATTTACTCTAAGTGTATAATTACAGCAAAATCAGAGGTTTATATGACATTCTGTAATGAAAATGAAAGTAAAATTTATGGAAAGAAAATACTTTGCTTGCCTTTGTTTGGAATTACTTGGGAACCTACTTTGTGTTTAGTTGGTCTCTTTTTAGTGATTTTAGTATGCTCCTATTTCCATCATGGTTTTTTTTTTTTTTATCATTAGATTAGAAAAGTAAGTTTGATAAGTATGTTATGTTACTAAATTCTAATTATTTACTATGTTAGAATTATTCAGTATCGAAATTTAACACAGGTAAAAATCCAAGGCTCATCCAAAGAAATGCTGGAATCTGCCTGTGAACTGTTTTTGGGTAAAACAGAGCGTGACATAGAGAGAGTGGCCTTGGAAACCCTTGAAGGTCATCAGAGAGCCATCATGGGAAATATGACAGTAGAGGTAAAGTTACTTATAGAGAATGGGTAAGGTTAAGACATCAATTGACATCAAAAAGTGACACTTTATAGGATTATGAGGTCAGCTCAGTGACATGGGTTGCCTTTTGGTAGTATGTGTTTTAGTTTGACTTTGTCATTTAATTTTTCACATTTTCGACTTTTCCTGTACAACCACTTAGATAATGTCAACCAAATGTGCAAAAAAAATCCTTTGTACAAATGAAGGACTATGCTCCTTTTCAATGGGTGAGAATGAAGAAAATGTAAAAATTAGGATGGGATCAGAGCTTTCAGCTTTCAATAACGGGCGACTGGAGGCAATTTATCACCTTTTCAATGATCGTAATTTGCTGCATCAGATTTCATAATTGGCAAAATAAAATACTGGAAATAATTCTAAAACAGCCTCTTCAAATGGATAAATTCACCACTTCAAAATTATTGAAAGCCCTGCTGAATCATTTAAAAATCTTTTCAGGAGCCACTGAACTAGAAATGACAAAACATATATGTGGAAACTTGCTTATTGATATTGAAGATTCAGATTTCTTCATACAATGTATTCTGATCCATAGGATTAGGATTGGTCTTACCGTCTACTAAAGGGATATAAGCATGGTCATTTAGGATTGTCCAATCTTTGACCCCAAGTATGAGGGATCGAGATAGGGACACAAAGAAAGTCTAAATTTTTTTGTAGAATTATATAGGAATAGTTGTTTTTTTATTGTTAATAGTTTTCATAATTCACAGAAGTTATTTTATGAACTTCAGGAAATTTACAAGGATCGTAAGAAGTTCTCTAAGGCTGTGTTTGAAGTGGCGTCCTCTGATCTGGTCAACATGGGAATCTGTGTGGTCAGTTACACCCTCAAGGACATCCGTGATGACAGGGTAGGTCTTGACAATCATTCTATCAAGTTTCATTCATTTTTGACTAAATATTTGTAATATGAGAGTCTTTACACTGATTGTGGTGGGCTGTCACTTAACGCTTCTGTGGACCACAGGAATCGGACCATGTAACTATGACTGGAATGTTCTGTTGTTATTGGAGACTTCTTGATTTTCATTGTTTATATCTTTTGTTTTTCATTTAGATCTAGAATCCTTTATGTAGCCTATTATTAAGCTTGATTGGTTAGTGAATGGATTTTCATGTTAACATGTTCAGTGGGCATAATTTGTGGTATATTTTTTGTTATTTAGAATTTCCCAGCATTCCTTGATTGGTTTTGCAGATATGGTTTATTGACATGTGAAAAAAGTTCAGTTCTCTAAGAATTTTTTTGACCTATTATATGGCATTATATGTTGATAGTCATACAGCTTTATATATTGGCAGTTCCTTTGAAAACAGGGGCTGAAGTAGAGAATATTGACACCCTTCTTATAAACACTAATATATGAAGGTGCAAACTGTAAAGGTGTACTTAGGCAGCTATTATTTTTGTAAATCAAATTCCAAATATATTATAATACAAAATGTTCTTCTGTTGTTTTAGAATGTACAAAGTTTTTATTTTTTGCAGTTCTCTTACATTATGATAATTCACAATCTATGAAGTGATAGATCATTTATCGTATATTTTGTTACTATTGGGTAATGTTAAAATTTTATTTTTCTATCAGACGGAACCATTTGCAGTAAAGAAATCATTTTATATGCATGGTTGTTGTTTGCTAAATTCTTCTTCCTTTTTTAGCTCTACTGGTCTACTTAATTAAACATTTTTTGTCCCATTTCAGTATAACTTGATACTTGAGTAGATGTCACTAAGACACATTATTCATGTTCTTCACCAGCGCGTACTGATAAGACTTCTCATTAATTGTTGAATTTCAAAGACATATTGCTGAAAGTTCTCATAAAATTAATTAAATTGTTAAAATGGAAATCTTGAACCATGTTCAAAGTTTTTCTATTTGATTTGGACAAACATTGTGGCCATGGCTACTTGAAGTAGAAATTTCTAAGAAATTTAACGCTACTCCACCTACAGTTTTGCCCTGATTTATTAAAATATGGTATACAAGTAGACTACACTAAGATACATAATTTTACATATTGTTTTTAATGTTCATGAATGGTGTTGCCATGGTTATTCATAATGAAAATCAGTGAAATTATCTGCAAACACTACTCCTATGCTTAGATCTGCTTTCAGTTAAACTTGCCACGTAGAGATACTAAAGCCTGGATCATAACTCTGTTTTATTAAGTGTAGCAGTTGCAAGTCGAAGAGCTGCTTTTTCTCTTCCTTTGTTATAAGTACAAACCAGTAGAGCTATAGTCTCATCAGACATCTCTCTTTTAATAATATTACTAATATTTGAGAGCAGTAAGAGATGTTTAGATTTTCGGCTCACCTGAGCCAGGGTTATTTAATATTTGTTTTTCTAGCACTGGGTGAACATTTGTTTGTCAGTCTGTCTGAGACCACAGTAAGCCCTTTAAATTGCAAGCATTCTCATGTAGTGAAGATTCTAATTGGTTCAAATTTTGGCTAGGCTTAGCCACAGCAGGGGATATAAAGAGTTACAAAAATTTTTAAAAATCTAATTTTCTTCAAAAACAAAGCTGCAATTGTTAAACATCAGGATCAATGTACTAGAAATTTTAATTGTTGAAAATTTTGAAAATTTACACTTACTGGTATTTGGTACCCTCTTAAAAATTCTTTCACATTTTCTATTGTATTTCAAAAAAGTTATAAAAGTAAAAATTTGGGGAGAATGCAGAAATAAGGCTGGCTGGATAGGAAAACTTCATGATAAATACTGCGGTATGTGTTTAATCAAAAGTAGAACCTTTACAAACTGTTTTACAAATTCTATGATCTTAACTTGTGTTTAGATGAGGGCAAGCATTAGGTATGAACACTTAATTTGCATTGAAAGGGTTAAGAAGTATACCATGTTTGCCATGTGTTATTGTATGCTCTGATGAAAGTGGTATGCTATGTTTGCTATTTGTTACACTCTGATGAAAGAAGTATACCATGTTTGAAATTTGCTATGGTACACTCTGATGAAGGCATTTTACCTTGTTTGCCATTTGTTATGGTACATTCTGATGAAGGCAGTATACCCAGTTTGCCATTGGTTATGGTACACTGATGAAGGCAGCAAACCCTGTTTGAAATTGTTATTGTATACTCTGATGAAGGCAGTATACAATGTTTAACATTTGTTATGGTACACTCTGATGAAGGCAATGTAGCATGTTTGCCATTTGTTATGGTACACTCTGATGAAGGCAGTATACAATGTTTACCATTTGTTATGGTACACTCTGATGAAGGCAGTATACAATGTTTACCATTTGTTATGGTACACTCTGATGAAGGCAATGTAGCATGTTTGCCATTTGTTATGGTACACTCTGATGAAGGCAGTATACAATGTTTACCATTTGTTATGGTACACTCTGATGAAGGCAGTATACAATGTTTACCATTTGTATTCGTACACTCTGATGAAGGCAGTATACAATGTTTACCATTTGTATTTGTACACTCTGATGAAGGCAGTATACAATGTTTACCATTTGTTATGGTACACTCTGATGAAGGCAGTATACAATGTTTACCATTTGTTATGGTACACTCTGATGAAGGCAATGTAGCATGTTTGCCATTTGTTATGGTATACTCAGTTCCAAGTTTTTCATTGAAAATTATACTTTGTTTTATAGAATATACCTTTTGATATGATCATATTCTGGGGAAAAAAGTGGTAATAATGAAAAATACTGATAATTTCTAAGGTTAATCCTTGTTTGCTTGTAGAGAATGAAACATAATCCCACACCCCTGTTCTGTCTCTTCTGTTGTTTGACCTTGTAGGGCATCCCTAGGAATTGCGTAATTTTGTTTTTGTGTGCACATGTTAGAAGAATTTGTACCAGTGTGTATCACTGCATGGTTCTTTAGTTTATCCTGAGAGATTGTGTATGGTTGGACTTTTTATTAATCAAAAACAAAGAAAAAGGAGGGGAAAAAACACTTATTGTTAACCAAGAAGAAAAACTTTTGGGGTTCTCTCTTTCTCTTTCTATAAAAAAAAGAAAAAAAATGAAATTTACTTGTAGCAAACAATCATTCTCTTTATGATACAAAGTTGATTATGTAAGTTGATCATTATAATTGAAACATAATGTGTAGAAGTACAGATTTGCCTGTTTCTGTTTGCAGGGTTACCTGAAGTACTTGGGTATGGCACAGACAGCTACAGTCAAGAGGGACGCAAGAATGGGAGAGGCAGAGGCTCGCATGGAGGCCGGAATCAGGGTAGGTAGAAGGAGCAGGGTCTTAACTGAGGCTCGCATGGAGCCAGAATCAGGGCACAGGCACTTGGAGTATGGAACCCCCCCCCCCTTTCCTTTTTAAATCTGGGGTCGAGTCACCTTTTTCCTATTTTTGTATTCTAATATGCACTATATGTTATCAATAATGTAACTCAGTTGTCTCTATATGCTGTTTTTAAATATGCCGTTTTCGACTGATACATAAAAAGAGAGAAGGCTTGCAACTCTTTTCTCATCGTATGCCTCACCTCGCTCAAACTTCGCCTGATTATTTATCTAAAGCATAAGAACACATGGAATATGCATAAATCAATAAATATGTTACACATTCTTCTTCCCTATTATATTTCCATTTAATTTTTATGTGCCTCCGATTTGTAAATATTTCGATTAAATTACCCGCATCTAGGGTAAATTTTGTTGATGTGCACTAGCTGGGATGGAAGTGCCCGGTATTTTCGGGCGTCATCATTATGTGTAATGTCATTCGCAACATTAAATGCGTCACTCTCTACCGTCAGTTCATACATTCACCTCTTTCGTTGGCTCGCGTATATCGCAGTGTTAAGCACAGGAAATAGTGCGTTTGTTTTTATTCATTATAATTAAATTCCTGTACTTATGTTTGTCTCATAAGGTATATATTTACTAAGTAGATCTAGAAATATTAGTTAAATTTGAAATGTTCCTTGGAATATAATGTTTTATACCTTATGTCAAAAATCTTGACGCGAGCCCATTGCAGAGGTGTATGAGAGAGGAACGAACGACAACTCTGAAAGGGAGATTGTAAATGCGAGAGGGAAAAATCCCGAATTTTCTATTCATATTACTTGTAACGGTAAGTTCTGTGTATAACAAGATAACTCTAACAAGCTGATTCTGGTGGATGAAGATTAACAATTAACATATGACCTAGACAACCAAATTTCACGATATTTTTATTACGAAACCTGGAGTTTTTATTTAATGCAGAACATTTGTAAAGTTAGAGTTACCGTTATTGCACTTCCATCCCAGCTAGTGCACATCAACAAAATTTACCCTAGATGCGGGTAATTTAATCGAAATATTTACAAATCGGAGGCACATAAAAATTAAATGGAAATATAAAAGGGAAGAAGAATGTGTAACAAATTTATTGATGTATGCATATTCCATGTGTTCTTATGCTTTAGATAAATAATCAGGCGAAGTTTGAGCGAGGTGAGGCATACGACAAGAAAAGAGTTGCAAGCCTTCTCTCTTTTTATGTATCAGTCTAAAACAGCATATTTAAAACAGTATATAGAGACAAACGAGTTACATTATTGATAACATATAGTGCGTATTAGAATACAAAAATAGGGAAAAGGTGACTCGACCCCAGATTTAAAAAGAAAAAAAAAGAAAAGGGGAGGGGGGGGGGAGTCCATACCCCAAGTGCCTGTGAATCAGGGTAGGTAGAAGGAGCAGGGTCTTAACTGAGGCTCACATGGAGGCTGGAATCAAGATAAGGTGCAGGGTCTTAACTGAGGCTCGCATGGAGGCCGAAATCAGGGTAGGTAGAAGGAGCAAGGTCTCATATGAGGCTCACATGGAGGCGGGTATCAGGGTAGGTAGAAGGAGCAGGGTCCTGACTGAGGCTCACATGGGAAGGTAGAAGGACCAGGGTCCTAATTGAGGCTCGCATGGAGGCTGGAATCTGGGTAGGTAGGAGGAGCAGGGTCTTAACTGAGGCTTGCATGAGTAGGTAGAAGGAGCAGGGTCTTAACTGAGGCTCACATGGGTAGGTAGAAGGACCAGGGTCCTAATTGAGGCTCGCATGGAGGCTGGAATCTAGGTAGGAAGAAGGAGCAGGGTCTTAACTGAGGCTCGCATGGAGGCCGGAATCAGGGTAGGTAGAAGGAGCAGTGTCTTAACTGAGGCTCGCATGGAGGCGGGTATCAGGGTAGGTAGAAGGAGCAGTGTCTTAACTGAGGCTCGCATGGAGGCGGGTATCAGGGTAGGTAGAAAGGAGCAGTGTCTTAACTGAGGCTTGCATGGAGGCCGGTATCAGGGTAGGTAGAAGGAGCAGTGTCTTAACTGAGGCTTGCATGGAGGCCGGAATCAGGGTAGGTAGAAGGAGCAGTGTCTTAACTGAGGCTTGCATGGAGGCCGGAATCAGGGTAGGTAGAATGAGCAGTGTCTTAACTGAGGCTCATGTGGAGGCGGGTATCAGGGTAGGTAGAAGGAGCAGTGTCTTAACTGATGCTTGCATGGAGGCGGGTATCAGGGTAGGTAGAAGGAGCAGTGTCTTAACTGAGGCTTGCATGGAGGCGGGAATCAGGATAGGTAGAACGACAGGGTTGTAGTCTCTATTACATTAATTTCTTCATGTTGTCCATTTCATTACAGGCATCCTCATATAATTTAAATTCAAAATTTTTCAATCTTAGACCCCTAAGCCCCCACCCCCTTTTCCAATGATAGGGATAATCCCACCAAAGGAACTTTTTAAAAAATTCTTCATGGGATCTATAGAATGTCCAAACTGTCATTTGGCAGTGACAGTACAAGCATTCTTTTGTAATTTTTTTTTTTTTTTTTCAAATGATTACCTTTAGGATTTGATGAAGCCATATATAGGATTTAAAGAGTATATAGAAATAAAATGCAGAATATTTTTAGGTCACCTGAGTCACTCAGGTGACTTATTGCTATCCGTTTTCGTCCATCGGCGTGCGTCGTCCATCGTGCGTTAACTTTTGAACATTTTTAACTTCTTCTCTAGAACCGCTCAGCCAATTTCAACCAAATTTGGTATATAGCATCTATGGGTGGAAGGGAACAAAAATTATGAATTTCATGGTCCCTGCCCCCCTGGGGCCTGAGGGGTGGGGCTAAAACCACCAAAATTAATGCAATCTTTAAAAATCTTCTTCTTTACTCCTGGACATCAAGCAGTCAAACTGTTGGCATGACTGTAATAAGCATTGAGCCCTCTACCAAAATTGTGAAATTCATGGCCCCCAGGGTCAGGGGTTCTGGTGCTAGGGCGGGGCTATATAGATCATATAGTGAAAGTGCATTATTTCTTTGAAAATCTTCTTCTCTACTCTTGGGTGTTATTGAAAAAATTTGAATACATAGTTATGATAAGCAAGAGTGACTCTTCCAAAATTGTGAAATTCATAGCCCCAGGGTCAGGGGTTCTGGTGCTAGGGTGGGGCTATATAGATCATATAGTGAAAGTGCATTATTTCTTTGAAAATCTTCTTCTCTACTCCTGGGTATTATTTAAACAAATTAAATACATAGTTATGATAAGCAAGAGTGACTCTTCCAAAATTGTGAAATTCATGGCCCAAGGATCAGGGGTTCTTGTGTTAGGGTGGGGCTATATAGATCCTATAGTGAAGGTGAATTATTTCTTTGAAAATCTTCTTCTCTGCCCCTGGGTTTTATTTAAACAAATTAAGTACATTGTTATGATACGCAAGTATGCCTCTTCCAAAATTTTGAATTTCATGGCCCCAGGGTCAAGGGTTCTGAAGAAAAGGGGGGGGGCTCTATTGATTATACTGTGAAAAAGCAAAATTTCTTTGAAAGTATTCTTTTCTGCTCCTGGTTAAAAAGCAAAGAAGCTAACTGTATAGTTATGATGAGCAAGAGTGCTTCTTCCATAGTAGTGAATTGCGTGATCCCTGGGTCTGATGTGCTGGTGTAAGGGTGGGGCTCTTGATGATATAGTGAAAATGCATTAATTCTATTAAATAACCCTGTCTGCTCTTAGTGTTAAGCAGATAAACAAAGTGATTACTTATGATGAGCAAACTTCTGGTCCCAGGGTGAGAGGCTCTAATGTTTCTTGTTGTGGAGGGGGGGAGGGGGCTCTATTGATAATATAGTAAATCTGTAATAAAAAAGCATTATTTCTTTAAAAAATCTTCTCTGCACCTGGGCATATCAGAGGCAAAAAGAGTAAAAGTTTTAATAAGGAATAGTATTTTTACCAGATTTTTGAATATCTGGACCATTTGGTCAAGTGTTCTGGTCCTTGCCAGGGATCTATTAATTTGTATTCTACTGAGAGGAGTTATTCCCCTTTGCCATTTACTTTTGATAATTAATCACTGTAAATAATGTACTTGAAAGGTTAATAGAATAAGAGAATTATGCAAGAATTTTTATTGTATAATAAAAAAAGTACTTTCATAGTTTTAATGATCAGGAAGACTTGTAATAGATAAATAAAAATGAGACAAAAATAACTTGTCTTTTTAAATTTCATCAAAGACCAAGAGAGGCCAATGTAAGAGATGTCAACAAGGAATTAAAATAGTACAGAAGCACTGATAGTTTGTTAATAATTATACTGTATGGTGATAGTGATAAATGGGGAACAGATTAGAACCTAATTTATGAACTGTTAATGAATACTAGACTAATTATTTTGTTGATCATGATCACCCTATTTTTCTTGCTTTTGGGCAACAAAGCTTCACTTTTCAGTTCATTTTATACTCTATGGATCCTCTAAATTGTTGTATTATACTCAGGTAACCGTTAAGGCCCTTGGGCCTCTTGTTCTAAATACCAAGTTATTTTATAAAACTCAGGTTACTGTTAAGACCCCTAAGTTTCTTGTTAATCATCCAGCCCTTCAAATAAAAAAATAAATTCAAAAATGTTTTTGTATTTGTGTACACAGGAAGCCAATGCTGAAGAGAAGAGAATGGCTGCCAGGTATACTACAGATATTGACATTGCAAAGTCACAGAGAGATTTCGAATTGAAGAATGCTGCCTATGACATGGAGATTCAGACCAAGAAAGCCCAATCTGATCTAGCCTATGAACTCCAGGTTAGTTCATATGAATAAGAAACATTGATAGCATCTTATCTAAGCTGGACAGCATACTTGTCCTTACCTATTAGCTGGTAACTCATCGGTGAATTACATTTATGTGTGCCAATAGCTTATTTTGACTTTCATATGTGCTGGTTGATAAGATTATGTAATTTAGAACTTTTAACATCTGCTTTACCTATAAATTGCAGGTGTGTTCATGTAAATAATCAATCATTAAATGTTCTATTCAAGGCTGCTAAGACCAAACAAGCAATCAAAGAAGAGGATATGCAGGTCAAGGTGATTGAAAGGGCTCAACAAATCCAGCTACAGGAACAAGAAATTACCCGCCGAGAAAGAGAATTAGAGGCCACAGTCCGCAAGCCAGCTGATGCTGAGAAGTACAGACTAGAGAAGCTTGCCGAGGCCAACAGGTAAATGTGAAGAACAGGGTATGGAAACTAACATAGCCCAACTGGTAAATGAAAGTTACTTACAAATAAGGAATACATGTACAAGGTAAAGAGAAAACTGAATGAGGACAATAACTAAATTAGAGGCTCGAGATGCTGGCTGAGGCCAACAGGTGATGTAGGTTCATAGAAACTTAGTTTACATAATACCTAGGGTTACATAATACCTAGGGTCACAATGTGGAGTTTAATTAACTAGTTTATGTTAAAGGGATTCTTTTTAATTTTTTGAAAGGCATTTTTCCATGTAAATGAATCCACTTTTAATTTTATTGACAGAACCAGAGTGATCTTAGAGGCAGAAGCTGAAGCAGAAGCCATTAAGGTAGGTGTGGCCAGAATGTTGTCAGGGCTAAAAATAAGCATGAAAAAGTCCATCAGCTGTTAAATGGTTTTAATTCTCATGCAGATAAAAATGAAGTTTTAAGTAAATGTGATTGCTGATCCAGTGGATTATTTGTACTCTTCAGGTGAAGGGCGAGGCTGAGGCTTTTGCTGTGGAGGCTAAGGCCAAGGCCGAGGCAGAACAGATGGCTAAGAAGGCGGACGCCTGGAAGGATTACCAGGACGCTGCTATGGTTGACATGATTCTGGAAACTCTGCCAAAGGTATGGTTTTTTGTCAGTTAATGGTAACAGTAATTACCCAATACTGGAAATTCTACCAAAGGTATGGCTTATTGTCAGTCTATGGTACCAGTTATTACCTATACTGAAACTCGACTAAAGGTACAACATTTATAGTCAAGAACACTATACTGAAATTCTACCTTAGGTAGCACTTATTGTCAGTCAGTGGTACCAGTAATGACACAGTACTGGTGACTGCTGAGGCTTCTATCCCTTTATGCAATGTTTAGTATCATAGTGTGTACACTATGTTAGGTGACAGTAGAGTTTCTTCTTCTCTTTGCAATGTTGATATTTATGTATGCTGAAATCTCTGCCCCTTTGTGCAGCTTTGTGCAGCACTAAGGATTCTATACTAGGTGGCTACTGAAATATCTGCCCCTTTGTGCAGCACCAATTATTAGTAAGTGTTTATTAGGTCACCTGAGTCACTCAGGTGACGTATTGCTATATGTTTTCGTCCATCGGCATGCGTCGTCCATCATACGTTAACTTTTGAACATTTTTAACTTCTTCTCTAGAACCGCTCAACCAATTTCAACCAAATTTGGTATATAGCATCTATGGGTGAAGGGGAACAAAAATTATGAATTTCATGGTCCCTGCCCCCCTGGGGCCTGAGGGGTGGGGCTAAAACCACAAAAATAATGCAATCTTTAAAAATCTTCTTCTTTACTCCTGGACATCAAGCAGTCAAACTGTTGGCATCATTGTAATAAGCATTGAGCCCTCTACCAAAATTGTGAAATTCATGGCCCCAGGGTGGGGCTATATATATCATATAGTGAAAGTGCATTATTTCTTTGAAAATCTTTTTCTCTGCTCCTGGGTATTAAATAAAGTTACTAAGTACATAGTTATGATGAGCAAGAGTGCCTCTTCCAAAATTGTGAAATTCATGGCCCCAGGGTCAGGAGTTCTGGTGTAAGGGCGGGGCTCTATTGATTATATAGTGAAAATGCATTAATTCTTTGAAAATCTTCTTCTCTGCTCCTGGGTATTAAATAAAGGAACTAAGTACATAGTTATGATGAGCAATAGTGCTCTTCCAAAATTGTGAAATTCATGGCCCCAGGGTCAGGGGTTTTGGTGTTAGGGCGGGGCTCTAAAGATTATATAGTGAAAATGCATTAATTCTTTGAAAATCTTCTTCTTTGCTCCTGGGTATTAAATAAAGTAACTAAGTACATAGTTATGATGAGCAAAAGTGCCTTTTCAAAAATTGTGAATTTCATGGCCCCAGGGTCAGGGGTTCTGGTGTTAGGGCGGGGCTCTATTGATTATATAGTGAAAATGCATTAATTCTTTGAAAATCTTCTTCTCTGCTTCTGGATATTTAATAAAGTAACTAAGTACATAGTTATGATGAGCAAGAGTACCTCTTCCAAAATTGTGAATTTCATGGCCCCAGGGTCAGGGGTTCTGGTGTTAGGGCAGGGCTCTATTGACTATATAGTGAAAATGCATTAATTCTTTGAAAATCTTCTCCTCTGCTCCTGGGCATTAAGGTGATAAACTAAGTACATAGTTATGATGAGGAGGTGGGCCTCTTCCAGAATTGTGAAAGCCATGGCCCCTGGGTCAGGGGTTCTGGTGTTAGGGCGGGGCTCTATAGATTATATAGTGAAAAAGCTTTAATTCTTTGAAAATCTTCTTCTCTGCTCATGGGTATTATTTAAACAAACTAAGTGCATGGTTATAATGCATAAGGAATGCCTTTTCAAAAATTGTGAATTTCATGGCCCAAGGGTCAGGGGTTCTGGTGTTAGGGCGGGGTTCTATTGATTATATAGTGAAAATGCATTGATTCTTTGAAAATCTTCTTCTCTGCTACTGGAGACTATTTAAACAAACTAAGTGCATGGTTATGATGCATAAGGATGCCTTTTCAAAAATTGTGAATTTCATGGCCCCAGGGTCAGGGGTTCTGGTGTTAGGGCGGGGCTCTATTGATTATATAGTGAAAATGCATTGATTCTCTGAAAATCTTCTTCTCTGCTACTGGAGACTATTTAAACAAACTAAGTGCATGATTTTGATAGACAAGGATGCCTCTTCCAAAATTTTTAAATATATGGCCTCAGTTTTTGGGGTTTTTGAGGAAAGGGGGGGGGGGGGAGGGCTCTATTGATTATATAGTGAAAAAGCATTAATTCTATTAACTAATCATTAATTAATCCTGTCTGCTCCTTAGTGTTGAGCTGATAAATAAATTGCTTAGCTATGATGAAAATGGGAGCTTCAAACAGAATTTTTAAATCTTGTGGTCCTAGGGTCAGGGGTTCTGGCATAACAAAGGGGGGGGGGGGGGGGGCTTTTGATAATATAGTGGAAAAGTGTTAATTCTTTGAAGTCCATAGTTATGATGATGAGGGTAACTCTTCCAAATTTGTAAATTTCTTGACCCTTGGTCTTGGGTTCTGGTGTTAGGGTAAGGCTTTGTTGAATCTGTAGTGAAAATGCATTGTACCTGTGAAATTCTTCTCTGCTTCTGGGCATATCGGAAGCAAACTGAGTAAAAGTTTAAATGATATGAGTAAGCGTATTTCTACCAGATTTTTAAACATCTGGACCATTCGCCTAAGCATTCTGGTCCAGGGCAGGGCTCTATTAATTTGTATTCTACTGAGAGAAGTTATTCCCCTTTTCCATTCACCTTTGATAATTAATCACTGTAAATAATGTATTTGAAAGGTTAATAGAATAAGATAATTATGCAAGAATGTTTATTGTATAATTAAAAAAGTACTTTCTTAGTTTTAATAATCAGGTAGACCTGTAAGTAATAGATAAATAAAAATGAGACAAAAATAACTTATCTTATTAAAAGTTCTTCAAAGACCAAAAGAGAGGTCAATGCTAGAGGTCTTAATATGGGTTTAAAAATAGTACAGAAGCACTAATAGTTTGTTAATAGTCTGCATGGTGATAGTGTTAAGTGGGGGACAGATTAGAACTTAATTTATGAGTTGATACTGAATACTAGACTAATTATTTTGTTGATCCTGATCTTCCTACTTCTCTTGCTTTAGGGCAACAAAGCTTTATCTATCAGCTGTATTTAACTTCTAAATTGTTGTATTATACTCAGGTGACCGTTAAGGCCCTTGGGCCTCTTGTTCTATACTAGGTGGCTGCTGAAATCTCTGCCCTTGGTATAGTGCTGAGTATTTATGTGTGTCTATTGTATACTAGGTTGCTGCTGAAATCTCTGCCCCTCTGTGCAGCACTAATTATTACTAAGTGTTTATTCTATACTAGGTTGCTGCTGAAATCTCTGCCCCTCTGTGCAGTGCTAAGAAGATCACCATGGTTTCCAGTGGTAAGGGAGAGGTGGGAGCCGCCAAGCTGTCAGGGGAGGTCCTGACTCTGATGGAGAAGATGCCACATGTGGTGGAGAATCTGACCGGAATCAACATCACCAAGGTATGTCCAGTGACAGTCTGATCTATACAGGGGTACTGTGGTGGTGGTGGTGGTGGGGGGGGGGGGGGGGGGGGTGGCTGTTAACACATACTTTTGTTCCTGTTCATTATAGTTCATTTGGCATGAATTTATTCTAGCAAGTATCTAGGGTAAGTTTGGTGTTTTCTGGATTTGGGACCTATTAGATTTGTTTTGTAGGATTTTTTTCTACACTGTATCCTATCATTTTCACTCACAGTAGTTTTCTGCTGAAAGGAATAGTGAATATGGCCATTCTTTATCATTATTTTCATGCTTTTTTGTGCACAAAAAATTTTCAAAAGTAATTTTTTTCTTCCTTTTTGATGTAGTACAGTGTAGTAAGTAATGCATATCATTTTATTAGGTGTGTTTTACTTCAACATCAACCAATTTTTTTGGATATAGGTTCCAAAGGCAAAGCATACTCAGCAGGTTTTGCACTGTTTAAGATTTTAAAGATACTGTTCTGTTCATAGTGTTATTAATTTAATTTTCTTGGTTTTTTGGGGGGTACCTGGAATAAAATAATGAATGATCCCATTGTAGCACTTCATGGAAGCAGTCAAGTGTAAGTGACTTATTCATCTAGTGTATGCAAGTATTTAATTCTCTCTACTGAATAGAAAACTGGCTGCAATTTATCAGTATGATTTTCTGAAATACAAGATTTCTTTAGGAGCATTTTGAAAATTATATCTGGGCAGTCAAAATCAAAATGCCAGGCATATGACAGAGTAGATCTTAATCTTTTTTTTAAATATTTTAACAAAAATGTCAATCAAATATATTTTGTTCCATATCAACATCTCTATCCCAAAACAATGTGATTCATTAAGGAATCTTTTATTTTCTTTATGTAAAAAAAGGTTGATTGTTGTTGGAAACTTGTTTTATATATTCCCCTGAACACTGTTATGTAAAACAAAAGACTATTTAGGATCCTATTGATACAAATTTATCAGCCTTCATGATTTTATTGTACTGCAAGTGTTTAAATTTAGTTAAATAGATATTGGAAGTACTTAAGGCAAAGTTAATCCGTATTCATGGCAGTATCGTATTTAAACTTCAACATCTTTTCACCAATCCATATAAGATATCAATGTTTTACTGTATTTGACCTAATCCTATACAAAGTTCTACAAACAAATCATCTGTAGGGGGATTGATAGTGGTATCTAAACATAAGAGTTGTTAGCAGTTATCTGTTTTATATTCTCATCTATATCCGTAAACTCTAACAATTAACTTGTATTTATATATATGTACATATATATATACAGAAATAAATGTTAAGATCTTGGTCTGTATAGACAAGTAAATGCTTTATGATAAATTGTCTTAATTAACATATATTTATTTTCAATTTATTTTAAATGTATTATATACTAACAATTTAATTGTCTTAATAATCCATGAAGCTATCATAAAAATAAACAGACGGTAAACGTAATAATGGCAGACAGTAGAAATCATCTGATCTCATGGTTATCCCATGTTTACCTCTTGTTTACCCCTTTACCCTGTGAATTTCAGTCATTGGATAATTTTTCATATCAATACACCTTGTGTGATGTCATGGAAACAAATATGTTTTGCATTTGTAAACACAGAAGGTTGAGGAAGAATTCATAATTTTATTAATAAAATCATTGAAATACATGTAGTTGATAAAAATTATATCCAGTTACAAAATGTGGGAGATCATCTATATATATATATATATATATATATATATATATATATATATATATATATATATATATATATATATATATATATTACTTACTTACTAGTCCTCTTCGTGCTTTGAGCATTAAGGCCTGATATATATATATATATATATATATATATATATATATATATATATATATATATATATATATATATATATATATATTTATTTATTTATTTATATATATATATATATTTTTTTTTTTTTTTTTTTTTTAAGAAATATTTCATTTTCCATAAGTGGATAACAACAAAGTTTTCCTTTCTCTAAGCAAGTGTTCATTGTTATTGAGTAATTGGGTTTTCTTTCCAGTTGTAAAAGTATACATGCTTTGAATTTACATAATTGAGAAGGGGAGGTCATTTTCAATGTGCTGTTTTTCTTTTTTTATGACATGATTTCTTGTGTATTAAAATGGCTAACATTATATTTTTATCAGGATAAAGAGAGTGAGATCTTTTCATTGTGTCTGTCTTTTTAAGAGATATAATTTCCTGTGTATTAAAATGACTGATGGTGTATTTTGTAGAACATCAAGGCAGCCACCAGAAGATAAAGAGTTTCACGGAGTCGTCGGTCGTGGTCATCATTTATTATCCTCCATACGGGCATGTCACTGTAGACTGTGTATTGTTAGAACAGTTATCTCCCTTTGAAGAAGTCATCAGCTTTAGAAGTTACAATACATTAATCATATCAACTATTTACATGCTTATTTACATCATTTATCTGATACTCCAGGGACTGAACTTGACTCTCTATCTACAATTTGTTCTGGTTTATGTCAGGCTGTAATTGAGTTATTGGCAGCTTATGTATATTTATTATATATACTTTATATGTTGTATATGTTAAGTTTGCATAACAGCACCATCCAGCACTGAAAATGTCATCTAGTCAATATGACCCATTCAAGGTGTGTGCTGAGGTTATTAACATTCTCAAACAGGTTACACTGTGTATCCCCTATGTTCAGGTTATACTGTATTTGCAATTTTATCCCAAAAAGGTGTCCTATACCTGGATGCTCTATAAATTCCATAAATTTTTGTTCCTTTTTTCCATTATGTTTTAAAACCACCAGATCCTCTATTAACGGCAGACCATTTTTATCTTCCATCATTCTTACAATCATTAGTTTTTTTTTAATTTGATACTGTAATCCTCACGTTAGGGGTGTTTCAGTCATGGTTAATATTATGCACACTGAGCTGTTGACCATTAGAGCTGTATTAGCAAAGACATTATTTTTAAGTGTATAATTTGTGAATAAAGGTTGGACTTTGCCTTGCTGTTTAAAATGCTCAATATAATGTCTTTTATAGGACTAGATACCAAAAAAAAAAACCTTGTGTTGTTTGTTTTAAACCGAGTAGAATTTTTATTCATGTATGATTTCCTTGTACACTAAGTGTTGAATCAAAAATTTTATCATCATAATTGCATAATGATTTTAAATAGGTTACACAATATGTAAATCCCAAATTTTATACTAGTATTTTAAAGTCGATTAAAATTTGTGTCACAAGGAACTGAGAGTTTTATCAGACCTTGAAATTGACAATTTCTGTATATGTCTTGATCGAAAGACAGAGTTTTCAGGCCTGGGGGGATGCTGTATTCCCAAGTCAAGAAATCCTCAAAATAATGGATGTGCATTAAACCAAAAATGCAGACTATTAATATACAGGTACATTGCTAAATTTATAACATTGTTAATATGTATTAAATTATGTAAGTCTTTGTACATTGCAATAATTGTCATTAATAAATTCCTACATATACATGTTGGGCTTATTTTTTATATCTTGATCATATTGAGAAAGCTGATTAAAAGGAGGACGTTGGTTGGCTGGACTCAATCTACCATAGGATCAGATATCAAAATAGTTTTCCTCAACTGCAAATTTTGTAATAGTAAACTTAAATCAACTGCAATTTTGGATGTTGGGGATTCAAGTTTCATCAAATGAAAGACCATACTTCTATGCAGGAGAGATAAAGAAACAAGGTGGGGTCATTTCAAAAACTCAATTCGGCCAGAAATGACAATAAAAACGTTATCTTCTTTATGTGGCGCTAATTCAAGAGTATCTTATGAACCTGTAGCATGCTGGAGTAAGTTCTAAGGTAACGGGTTACATGTATATACTCAGTTCTAAGATGACTACATTGATGTACTCAGTTCTAAGGTGACTACATTGATAACAGACACAATCTTGCTGGCTCATTGATGCTGGGTGTGTGTTTCTTTGAGCAGAATTCATGATAATGTTTATCAGTAATGTGGTACACATAATTCATTATCACTGATGAAATATTTAAATATGAAGAAACACCTAGGGCGCTAATTTTTGATTGTGGTAACAAGTCCATGACTTACAGATTTTGAATACACTTAAATGGGTATACTTAAGTACCTTTGTGAGGTACAGTGTCAATGATGGAGACGAATTGTATAGTTTATTACAAGAAGAATACAAATCAATTAACAGTAACATTTGCTGCATACATAACATTTATGTATATTCTTTGGATGATTAGCTAATAGTGATCCCATGCAATACCAGAGTATAGTACATTAATACAGCAATCCCTCATCCCCCTGAGGCTTTGCCCTATTTGACAACACCTCCAGTAACTTCGTATTTATTCTACCCCGTCTGTCATTTATACGGCAGTTCCATCATCCCCTGGCGGCTCTGCCCTATTTGACAACACCGCCAGTAACTGTTCATATTTATTCTGCCTTTCATTTCTATCAACACTAGCACCTTTAGCTCCCCATAACATCCTTAAATGAAATTCTGTTTGAAAGGCATCAGTGATCACATCCTCCGACTTCACAGTTTTCATCATGTTTTGTGCTGTCACTTTGTACAGTCCACACTGAGCCGTGATCAGGCGAGCTGTGTCTAAATGTGTGAGTAAAATGTCAAGCCCGCTGTTCTGGTCTGATAACTCCCAGGGGAGATAATTGCTGAGACTCATCTCGTCTCTCTCCAGGAGAAACACGAGTGGTGCGATATCGGGAATGGATACATTCTGTAGTGGGAGGAGCCCACTGCCATCCATCAATGACTTGTAGGCGGACTTCAGCTTGGTGTCAAATTGAAAGGCACTATTTGTGTGATTCCGGCGCAGGATTAGCCAAGTGTCACGGAGACGTGAAATCTGAAAAAGTATTAGAATAAAAATGTTCAGTTGACTTACGCACACACATTAGAATAAGACTAGATATCATTGAGATGGTGACCATCTCAAAGGGCCCTGCTTTCAGCATTGAACTTAAGGGATGTGTTGTTCGAGTCTAAAGGGCTTCTATGTTATCCTTGTTATACTAAAAAATGGCACGAAAATAAAGAGTGCTCCATATCCTTTATCAGAAAACGGCACAAAAATCATGAATGCTGGATATCCTCTATGAAAATTGTTGCATATCCTCTATCAGAAATATGAAAGGAAAATCACAAATGTTCCATACCTTAAGTCAATTGGTAAGGTTTGAGGCTGACTGGACTTAAGGAGAAGAAATTGTGCACCGAACAAAGATTTTAAACAGAGAGGCTATTTTTTACCTTGACCTAGAAACTTCGTTCAAGGTCACTGCACATCCATTGACCAGTGGCACTATGTGAGTGAGGTATGAGCCACATTGGACCAAGGAGAGAGAAGATATGCTCCGGACAAGGATTTTTCATATAATTCTGCTATGACCTTAACCTTTGACCTAGAAACATGGTTCAAGGTCACTGCACACCCTTTACCCAAAGGCACTCTGTGGGTGAAGTATGAGCCAGATTTTGCCAAGGAGAGAGAAAATATGCTCCGGACAAGAATTTAAACAGAGAGGCTATTTTTGACCTTGACCCTTGACCTAGAAACTTCGTTCAAGTCACTGCACATCCATTGACCAGTGGCACTCTGTTAGTGAAGTATGAGTCACATTGGACCAAGAGGAGAGAAGATATGCTCCGGACAAGGATTTTCATATAATTCTGCTATGACCTTGACCATAGACCTAGAAACATGGTTCAAGGTCACTGCACACTCTTTACCCAAAGACATTCTGTGGGTGAAGTATGAGCCAGATTGGGCCAAGGAGAGAGAAAATATGCTCTGGACAAGAATTTAAACAGAGAGGCTATTTTTGACCTTGACCCTTGACCAAGAAACTTTGTTCAAGGTCACCACACATCCATTGACCAGTGGCACTCTGTTAGTGAAGTATGAGTCACATTGGACCAAGAGGAGAGAAGATATGCTCCGGACAAGGATTTTCATATAATTCTGCTATGACCTTGACCTTAGACCTAGAAACATGGTTCAAGGTCACTGCACACTTTTTACCCAAAGACACTCTGAGGGTGAAGTATTAACCAGATTGGGCCAAGGAGAGAGAAGATATGCTCCGGACAAGAGATCTCGGACGGACAGACGGACGGATGGACGGACTGATCACTATAGGGCACCCGCAGAGCGGGGCCCTAATTATAGAATAAGAACATTGTGTTGACCATTGCACACACATTGGAATAAGATTAGAATATGAATGTTCACTGTATACAAAATCCCAAAGAATAAGAAATCATATTATGGATTCACATATGATTCATAAACAGATGAGGATGGGTTCAGTTAAAGTAAAATTTATCATTTTTATAATGGTGTTGATAAGAAATGTCCATTGTAGCAGTCTCTAATAGCAACATTCTGTTCTTAAATTGCCATTGAAGATTTGGGCACAAGTACAAGTGCATGTATAAATACTTAAAAAACAAGTAGGTTACTCATAATACAATGGACAATAATATACTGTGTATGTTGTAAATAGCTCTCAAGTTAATTCACATTTATTAAATTTTTGGCAAAAACATTCTTCAACAACAAATACCCATATGTAACAGTGTCTGATGCTTGACATTTCCTTTATTGGAAACTAGGTCATTTGCGATTATTCTGCTAAAAAACATCTCCCTTTGGTTGATGAAATTTTACCATTTTTCATTGTGTTGCTTACATGTTCTGAAGTAAGTCCTTCCATAACGCTGGCAAAACCAAACAAGTTTCCAAACGTTGCCCTCAGATCTACAGCAATCTGTATCCATTGACTCAGTATTTTGGCTCGCTCTGTCACTGTGCCACATGTCAAGGTCTTTACCATGACAAACACTTTCATACAGTAGCACCTTCGTAAAAATGTTTTAAGGTCAATATTGATGAACTTGGAAATTATGGCACCCTAGTTATCCCTATCTTAAAATCCACTAAATAAATCTTCTCTTTTAGTTAAGATATCACTCATATATTTATATAAAAGATATTAATATAATATGAGTTTTTAATAAAATCAAATACATTATTTTTTATTGTAAAGTTAACTTTGACATGAATTTACCTTTCAATGACATTCTGTCTGAGTTGTTTCCCTTGAGGTAGAGTAATCAACTCTAATCCAGACACAACACCTAATCCAAGATCCAAATCATTCACGACTTTCAGATAATCCAGATCTACCTTTGTCATGTGTTCTGCCAATCTATGAGAATTATTATCCAACAGAATCTCTTTCACTTTTAACAGAACTGATGGCTCCAAGGGTTTATTGTCTGAGTGAATTAATGAGGATTTGAACTCATTTGGTTTTAAGCTTGTGTGAGAGTTGATTTCTGGTACCTTTATTGTCTTTTTCCTCATTTGTACTTCCTCCTCTCCGATGACCTGAATCTGATTCCCTTTGGGAGTGAGGGGAGATGGGATCTCAGCATAGTCTCTACCCCCCAACACAGGAAACTGGGTATCAGACTTTTTCTTGATTTTTTCGGGTAACTCTATGGTAAGTGTTTCCGGATTGTCCTTTGCATATTTGTTTTCAAAATGAACACTATTGAAATTATTGTCATAATCCCCTTCATTGTTAGAAGGCTGGTAGTTATTGTTCAGGTTGCCACTATATGTAGGTGGCTGACATTTTTTGAGCCAGCTTGGTGATTCTCTCACCTGATAGTAGTCAGAATAATCTCTATCATCGTCCTCATATAATTCCTTATTTCTAATGGTGATTTTTGGACGATCTTTTCCAATGTATTTGACGGAGGGGATCCTGCTGGGTTTAGGGGGTGGGGGTTTGTTGAGATGACTGTCTGATGTTGAGGGAGCCATTCTAGGCTGTACAGACAGATAATGGGACTTTGGAGTATTTTGGGACACACTACCGTCAGGGTTCATCATGGGTTCACTCCCCGACCTCTGATGTTGAATCTGAAGTGCTGGAGACATGGTACCCCCAGGACTAGGTGATAACTGTTTAATACTGGGGGTACTTTCAGATCTGTCAATAGTTCCACCAGCTGGATTTTGAGCACTGTCCATTTTGAGTATTGGTTGGCTGCCAGTTCTGAATGGTCTCCTCTGTAATCGAGGACTACCTTTTGGAGATGTATGTGGAGAACTGTAGGGACTTCCTCTTTCATTTGCACCATGCCCAGGGGTCAACAATGCCCCCACAGGACTTCCTCCTGAATATCCATATTTGTTGTCATAGTAACTTAGTGGCATTGTCCTTCCAATTGGGTTTAACAAAAAAGCACCTGAAGTTTTTGTCACACACTTCCTATGGGACATATAAAATTGCACAAGGTCCTGCACTGAACAGAATTTATCCTCTTCCAGGGAATAAGTAATCTCTGGAATATGACTATCCCTTTCCGTGATTTGTGAATTAATGATAAAATGTAAACGAACACCTCTCCAGCAACAGCTTAGTACAAAGTCACCGGGCTGTGAAATACAGTCCCTCACTAGAAAATCCCCATTGTGGCTCAGGGTCTTCTCGGCATGCTGGCGACTTATACTTCCATGATACCAGGGCCAGTGTCTTAGTTCCGAGGGATCTGCCTGCAGTTCACCGATTAAATCATGCTCTAATCTCTCCGGAGATATGTTCACCACTTGATAGTCCGGAAAATTGTTATTAGGCGAGCAGGAGAGTCTGTAATAGGAAGTTACTGAGTGTAAATGGCTTATCAATCATAGCACATAACCTTACCAGAAATATGTCACCAACTCTCTGTCACCTTGTAAAGTCTGGTAAACAAAGACACGTAAGATAAAACAAGCTACTGATAACAACATTAAACACTAGCAGATCTCAAATGATTTCTCTGTCCCTACCCTGAAATACCTCTCTGCACTGAAATTAAACACATGCATGCCACCTCTCTCCTGTCTACACAAAGACAGATTTATTCTGGACAGTCTAAACACATTTTATGCATGAAGTATCCAAACTAATAGAAATGAAGTTGTTGACCTTAGAGATTTAGTGTCCTCTACCTGTAAAGATCACACCAAGTCACTATCTACAGTTGTATAATGTCACTGTTACTAAAACATGCCAGAAAAAAAACTCTCTATTCATCTAGTAATTAAATGTCAGGTGTGAAATAACAGGAATTATGTCAAGGTAGATAACAGGTTATAAAAGAACATTCCATTCAAACAAGGACACCCTCAGGTATAATACAAGTCAATTAAACCCTGTTAATGTCCACTAGTCAATTAAACCCTGTTAATTGTCCAATACTTACTAATTTAATTGTAAATCCCCAGTCTTGAATTCCAGAAGAATGCATAAGTGGGACCTCTCAAGTCATTACAGTTATGAGAATGCGTGTGTCACAGAAGGGCGTACATGTACTCCACATAAGCATAAGAACTATGTAAATAGTCCTAGTTATCTACATAATGTTGTAATTCCATATAAAAGACTGGTATAACCATAAACATTGGGTGGAATTTTCCCCGGCAATGATTTTCTAGACCCTTATTTTATTCTGCCTATTGAAACTATGAATGACATGGATTTTAAATGACTGATTAAAATGAATGCCTTAGCACGATTTAGGTTTCTTTTAAAAATAACCTGAAGTAAATTAGAAAAATTTGATATTCCTGTCACGCTGTGATTTTATGGTCCAGTGGTCACAGAAAAGAGCAGGCTCCGTTCTGTATTATATTCAGAGATCGAGAAATCTGATTACTGCAAATATCTGAATATTTATTAAAATATTCACACAAATGAATTCCCTATACAGGAAAATATTACTTCTAAAATCTGGCATCAAAATTTGCATGTACGTAAATTTTATTTTATAGCTAAATTATTTTCAAAATAAAAATTGTACTTACAAAATAATACATGGCATCTTTACATTAATAAAAAAGAATCTGTTATTCAAAATTTGAAATAAATGTACATGAGAAGTCCCTTTATATTAAGATTATGAAGTATTTGTGGTCATTCCGTAAGTTGTTTGTTACTATCTGTACAAGGGATGGTGACAGAATAACTCCAGTATGTAGCAACACAAGTGACCACAGGCACACATGCCTCGATTATGATCCGATTAATGACTTCCTGGGACAGTGAATAACCTAGTAAGTATGTTTCTACGGAAACTGGTCAATATTTAGTATCAAGTAGACCATATCTATTTATGTCCTTAACTGGTAAAAACTAAAGGAAAATTTACACTGGTTCAGATCCAAATTTGTACCGTTAATTTCATTACTTGATTGTAACATTTTTCTTGAAATCAACAAATACTTGAGTTAAATTCTCAAAATCACTCAGATTAATAGACAGTTCCACAGTGCATGCAAAAGTTAAACAAATTGATCAACATTTGCAAAAGAAAAAAAAAGACAAAATGGTGATAATTAAATCACAAAATCTGAGAGTCAATCAACATTGAAAAAATATATGATAAACACAAAATTTGAAAATCAGAACTTCAAAACATAAACTATCATGTCAAAACAAGTGCCTTAATAATTCTTCTCCATCAAATGCTAAAACACACACAGAAAGGTGTACTCACTGAGTCCTAGAATTAATAAATGAGACTGGGAAACTTGTCATGCTGGGCCAGCGGCGACCACTACAGAAAAGTCCCTAGTCAGAATCTCTAACGACACATTCAAAGACAATACAAGTACATACCACAATAAAGACTGGGGGTCAGAACTTACCTGTTACCTACACTAGTCACACACCAGATCTACAGTACAAACCTATGTCAACAGCTGTCACGCTGTGAGTGATTTATTTATTGAGCTATTGATGCATTAATTAGTAGTTAATTAGTCATTTGTTTAGTAACAGTGGCGTTTGGAGACCACTCATGCTTTTCGCTGTTTTCTTTATCCTAATTTCTTTGTTTTTAATGATTAATAGCCTACTCAATCACTTTTTCTTTGTTTTTCACATTAACAATAGATTTATAATCATAATGAATGGTTAAGAGGAGAATATATAAAATTTCCTACAGCAGAGATACACATGAATACCGTAAGGGGAGGTAACTCAAACAATATAAAGTTACTCACTGAGCAGAAGCACTGTGACTTCTTTGTATAACTCGAGGCTTGCGGTAACCTATAAAACAGGACAAGAATTACTAAAAAAAATATATCATTCTGCTGAAAAAAACATATGTATAACAAAGGAAAAATAATGTCAATCCAGAGCAGGATTCAGATGTGGGTGCCCTTAACTCTAAACATGTGCTCTACCAACTGAGCTATTTGGCCATTAACAAACAAAACCATCGGATCATGCACATAACTATAAATGCAGCAGTTTAAAGTTCACAATAGGAAGACATTTTAAGATGACATAAAAGTATCTGAATTCTTACCTCGTTCATATTTTTCTTTAAGTATGCGGAGACTGGACACAATTTTGGCTCTGTGTGCACTGTTTTTAAGCCCTAGGTCTCGAACATCAGCCTCGGTCAAATTCAGCAAATCCTGCAAAAAAAATAAAACAATTAAAAAGCAAAGGAGGGAACAAAAATTAAAATGTACGAAAATGTAGAACCATATAATTATTCTGCCATATTCTTTATTATACTCAAACAAACAGATCTTACAGTTATTTAAATTCTCTTACATGTAATACCCTAAACACATTCATTTAAAAAAAAATTAATTGACAGATTCTTCTTGACCTCACACGACAAAAACATCATTGCCTCATAAATAATCCCAAATAGATTCTTAAGAATCTCTCTATAACATGCATACAAGGTCTACCATTACTTTTAACAAGGAATTAAATAAATTGAATTGTACATATTTTATTAACAAAAGTCAAAAGGATAAGGTTAAGTAACTTCGATATAGGAAGGAAATGCTTGGACTGTATATGGGTGGATGAAAGTATTTATATACAGTCTAGATAATGTCTGTATTTACCTCCACCCCACTAAACCCAGTGAATATTTCCTCATACTCTCTCAGCCCTAGAGCCTCCAGCCAGGTTTCTATTGGGATGTGTTTGTGGGCCATCACCTGTTGTCTTTCCAATACAATCCTACAATAAAATTAAAGTCTGTCAAAAGTTGTCTACTGGACTGAAACAATCAATCTAACTCCAAAGATTAATTTAACAGTCCACTTCATTGTTCAACATAATCAATGTTTTATATCTTCAGCAGCAATCTGTATCAATGCATGTAATTTATAATATCTCTGATGACACATCAACATATGGCAGATGCTTCTTCTGTTTTAAAAAAATCAAGAGGAGCATAGAATTACATACTACATCTACTGAGGCATTAGCTTTTACCAGTATAATGCTGTGCTTCTACACATGGCATCAAATCAACTTATTTTATAATTGTTTAAATTCTCAAATGATACAAGTTATAATGACCTAAATGAGAAACAATCAATCTTTTATTTAAAGGTTATATCAATTACAACTCATAAAACGTGTATCAAATAAGAATTCCCAAATATGTCCCAATAAGTTCAATCAACTCCAACTTGCTAACATTTGTCATACTGATCAATGGAAACATTTAGTTTTCATACTCTCTTGTGACCCTTATTTCCTCTTGACCTAAAACACCCAAAATCACCACAGTGCAACACAGGTACTCTGACAACAGAAAATAAATAAACTGATGACAAGAGTTACCTCCCCTCAGAATTCCTCCTACCTTAACAAACTTTGTTCTATCTCCTCTAATCTTCTCCTCCCTTTCTTCTTTTCCATAGTTTTACATTAAAGATCTTAGTTCCTATATCACTCAAATACATCTAGACAAAAAATCAGTGTGTCCAACGAAAAAAACTGGACAGGTGTCTCGTGTATCCTGTACCATGCAGTCCGACCCATCAAACCAACATTACTCCAAATATTTACTTTTTCCATCACTTCTTACACAAATAAATTACACTTTGTCAAATAATACATCTCTTAGCACAATGCCTGACATCTTTTTCTGAATAATAAATCCTACGATTATAATCACCTGATTTGCTCAATTCACAATTTACAAGTTCAGCCGTAAATAGGAAAAAATTGCCTGAAAAGACAGCTAGAATTCGGCAGCTTTATGTTTTATCAATGACAGCAGAGTCTGGAACTATAGGTTAAGATCCTCATGTTCAGATCTTTGAGTATTTTATCTGCGATCATCAGTCATCTATTCCGACAGGTTTCAAAACACCAACACCCCAGGGAGCATAATGCATCAAATGAAATAATCTCAATTCCAATTTTTTTGAACTGATTGCATCATAAACTTCTTATATACTCATTGATGCTGAAACTAGATTGATAATCTCAAAGATTTAAAGTTATATTTAGAACTATATAAAGATATTCAATATCTCTTTGATCACCTAATATATTCTAGTATAAGGCACAAGTAATTTAAATGTTTTTCTTAAATATTCCAAAGGAACTAATTGTGTTACATACATCTTAGAAAACACTACGGATCAATCACTCTTCAAAAGACCACCAGGCATTTAAGTTGATGTTTATTACAGCCTTGTGACAATACTGGGAGGAAATCTAATTAAATTTCAGCTGATTGTAATGTCTATTACACACCAATGATACTCATAATGTCCTGTTAGAGCAGATAAATAGAGGGACATTAAGGAACTGGACAATAATATACAAGATTAGCCTACATCCCTAGGGAAACTGTTAGGATAATAAATTGTAGATCAATGAAAATAAATAAATCTAAATAGTTTACATCTCCGATGGTAAAGAATGTGGAATACGGTAAGCTTGTATTGTATCTGGCCATCTGTTGCTACATCTCTTTTTTTCCTCTTTTCTTTCATTTTTTTTCCCTTACAAAATCCACCAGCATTTTCATCAATTTAATCCTCAGGACACTCACTGCCTAAACATGCAATATCTTCAACACTCTGTCAAGGGAGACAACTTCTTTACTAATTATATCAGGTTGCCAAAAATACGTGTTTCCTGTTGATACGAAATAAGAAAAAAATATGAATGATGAAGACCCCGAGAAATCGGCATCCTGTTTACAGAAGAGCCCTGTGATAATTCATATAAATCTGTGGGAGCTTCCCAAACATGCCAAGATGTGGTACACTGGTCAGATAGGGGGGATATAGCAGATCATTAGACGTCATGCTAAGTCAGTCAGCAATCTCCTCTAGATACCTTAATATTTTATTGACAGACACCCACCTATAGTATGGCACCACATTGAGCTGGATCAACCACCTGTCGAAACAGGGAGATAACACATCAAAAAGCATTAAAAAACCGAAGATGAGTAACTTTTTTGAAATATCATTCTGAGGTTACCATTAACCTGACCAGGAGTTTAATCACCGGGTTATCAGAACTCTGGATATGGAAAATCCACTGGAATTATATTTCCAAGGTTTCCTATATTATGCAAGTAGCAGCAGGTGTGAGCAGTAATTGATCCAATAACGGAGATCAATTCAAAGAAAGTTTCTTTTTAAAATAATGATCATACTGAGTAAGACCTGTTTATAACATGCATATAGACAGTAGGAAATGTTACCATTCATATCCCTACACTAATTATCACTCTATCTAGAAGTAGCAAGTTTTTAAGATTCTGAAAAATATATCCCTTTATGAACAGATGATACAAACAAACTCTTATCAAAAATCTAGAAAATAACAACTTAAGTCATGTTTATAAAAATAAAATGAAAAAGTTAAACTGCATGATTTTTAATTTTTCATTCAAAGTTTCACAATAATGGGATTTTAGTGACAAAATGTTATATAGATTAGTAAGGATGGTTGCAGAAAAGTAGAATTTTGAACATTATAAAAGGTTTACATTCTATTAATATTTTAGAAATTTACTATTGGCATCATTTAAAATCAAAATAGATCCAAAAATATATGCCAATTCAAGCATCCTTTTTTATTTTGTTTGTATCATCTGTCCTAAAGTAAATTGACAATTTAAAAAAAAAAGTTCAGTAAAATACTGCTGGTAAAAGACAGGTGGAGTTTCCACAAATTGACTGATTCGGAAGATACAGCACATTATCAACCATATAACACCTCCTTCTAAATATAAATTATATCATACAATTACTCACCCATTTGTAATTTGTAAAGTTTAGGATTAACAGACACAGGGGAATAGAGGGTAAGAATGTTGATACAGCTTGTCAGAATGTAACAGATGGGAAATAAGAATGCTGTAATCAATAAGTTAGGGGCCACATGTTCCTTGTACCATAGGTTCCCTGGGCCACTAAACTCACCTGTGGTAACAGACTATGACGATTACATGTAACAGAGCCAAACCTAGACAAATGTACACCTGTAGAAATAGACAATGATGACTACACATACCAAACAGAACCAAACCTAGACAAATGTACACCTGTAGAAATAGACAATGATAAAAAACATTTACCAAACAGAGCCAAACCTAGACAAATGTTCACCTGTAGAAATAGACAATGATAAAAAACATGTACCAAACAGAGCCAAACCTAGACAAATGTTCACCTGTAGAAATAGACAATGATGATTACATGTACCAAACAGAGCCAAACCTAGACAAATGTTCACCTGTAGAAATAGACAATGATAATTACACGTACCAAACAGAGCCAAACCTAGACAAATGTTCACCTGTAGAAATAGACAATGATAATTACATATACCAAACAGAGCCAAACCTACACAAATGTACTCCTGTAGAAATAGTCTATGATAATTACATGTACCAAACAGAGCCAAACCTAGACAAATGTTCACCTGTAGAAATAAACAATGATAATTACATATATCAAACAGAGCCAAACCTAGACAAATGTTCACCTGTAGAAATAGACAATGATAATTACATGTACCAAACAAAGTCAAACCTACACAAATGTTCACCTGTAGAAATAGACAATGATAATTACATGTACCAAACAAAGCCAAACCTAGACAAATGTTCACCTGTAGAAATAGACAATGATAATTACATATACCAAACAGAGCCAAACCTAGACAAATGTTCACCTATAGAAATAGACAATGATAATTACATGTACCAAACAGAGCCAAACCAGTAGACAAATGTTCACCTGTAGAAATAGGCAATGATGATTACATGTACCAAACAAAGCCAAACCTACACAAATGTTCACCTGTAGAAATAGACAATGATGATTACATGTACCAAACAAAGCCAAACCTACACAAATGTACTCCTGTAGAAATAGACAATGATAATTACATGTACCAAACAAAGCCAAACCTAGACAAATGTTCACCTGTAGAAATAGACAATGATAATTACATGTACCAAACAGAGCCAAACCTAGACAAATGTTCACCTGTAGAAATAGACAATGATAATTACATATACCAAACAAAGTCAAACCTACACAAATGTTCACCTGTAGAAATAGACAATGATAATTACATGTACCAAACAAAGCCAAACCTAGACAAATGTTCACCTGTAGAAATAGACAATGATAATTACATGTACCAAACAGAGCCAAACCTAGACAAATGTTCACCTGTAGAAATAGACAATGATAATTACATATACCAAACAAAGTCAAACCTACACAAATGTACTCCTGTAGAAATAGACTATGATAATTACATGTACCAAACAAAGCCAAACCTAGACAAATGTTCACCTGTAGAAATAGACAATGATAATTACATGTACCAAACAGAGCCAAACCTAGACAAATGTTCACCTGTAGATATAGACAATGATAATTACATGTACCAAACAGAGCCAATTAACCTACACAAATGTTCACCTGTAGAAATAGACAATGATAATTACATATACCAAACAAAGCCAAACCTACACAAATGTGCACTGTAGAAATAGACAATGATAATTACATGTACCAAACAGAGCCAAACCTAGACAAATGTACACCTGTAGATATAGAAAATGATAATTACATATACCAAACAGAGCCAAACCTAGACAAATGTGCACTGTAGAAATAGACAATGATAATTACATGTACCAAACAAAGCCAAACCTACACAGATGTACTCCTGTAGAAATA